ACACACACACACACACACACACACACACACACACACACACACACACATATATATATAAGGGCAAAATAATTGGAATATACAGCACACAGAAAACTTCAAAGCTCTGAGAAATAATAATTCCAAAATGAAGTATATTTGCCACCTGAATATTATTTAAAAAAAAAAATAAGCCAATATTAGAAAGGTCTGGGTGGTGGTGAAGAAGACTTTTAAGTTGCTGGGTGGGAGAGACACCTTGAATATGCAGTATGGGGCTGAGCCCTTGTGGTGTTTTTGTTCAGCAGAGCCACAGAACTCAAGCGTGGGGTAGGGTGTTCCCAAACAGGACAATGACAATGGGGGGTGAGCGCGATGTAGGCCTCTGTCTGCATCCCACTTATCCCGCACTGGCCCCGGCTCTGCCACAGAGTGATGGCTGGATGGCCGTTGATGACCACGAGTGGGCTTAACTCAAGAGCAAAGCCTGGTTCCCAGAATCTCTTCAGGGCCACAAGGAAAGGTCTTCCAGACACGCTGAGCTCTCGGCAGGATGCTGAGGTTAGCAGCCAGGCCAAGGCTCCAGGACCCTGGTTACACCAGGAGCTGCTGACCCTTGTGCATTGCCTGCATATGGCCACCAGGAAGCTCTTGCTAACAGCATCCTGCAAATGCCGGACCTTGCCGGTGAAGCACACTGCTGGTTTTAGTTTCCACAGTCGCCGTGGAGGCTTGAAGCAGCACACGCATATTGTCATACAGCCCTAGCTACCAGACACCCCACTCCTCACCACTGAGCAGCCAGTGGCCAAGGGCTGGGGGAGGAGCGTTTCCCTGAGGCCAGCAGCCCAGGCCCTGCTGGTCAGGGTGCTCGGGCAGGCCCCTGCTTGGCCTCTGCTTCCCCTGCAAGTTGTCAGGGGAGGAATAAAATGATCCCTGCTCCGTCTTTAGCACCTCCATGAACAATCTCATGCTGTAGCACCTCCATGAACAATCTCATGACTGCTTCACCAGGGGCGTTCTATTTGCCCATTTTACAGACAAGAAAATGAGGGAGGCTCAGTGCTAGGAATGGGTTTCTCGTTTACTTTTCTATTCCGGGGGGGGGGGACACAATATGACCAAGGCAACTTATAAAAAGAAAGTATTTAAGTTGGGGGTTACAGTTCCGGCTGAGAGGGTCCTTACATGTGACCCACAGGAACAAGGCAGAGTGTAACTGGGAATGGGGTGTGCTTTTGAAACCCCAAAGCTTGCCCTCAGTGACACAGCCCCTCCAACAGGGCCGCACTGCTTAATCCTTCCCCATCAATTCCACTAACTGGGGACTAAGTATCCATACTCAAGCCTATTGGGGCCATTCTCCTCCAAACTGTCCCAAGGGTGAGTGGCGAGGCTAAGGACTGAATTCTCTCTCTTCTTACTGTTCTTACATGTATGTAGGGGTACACATAGACATGTGAAGGCTAGAGGACAGCTGTGGGTATCATCGTCTACTTCCTTTGAGATGGGTCTCTCCCTGTCCTAGAACTTACCAATTAGGTTAGACTGGCTAGCCAGCGGATCGTTCTGTCTCTCTCTCTCTGGTGCTAGGATTACAAGTATGTGCCACCATGCCTGGCATTTACATGGGTTCTGGAGATCAAACCCAGGTCCTTGTGTTTGCAGGGCAGGAGCATTATAACTGAGCCATCTCACCGGCCCCGACTGGACTCCTATTTGGACTTGCTTAGTGGGCAGGGAACCTACAGAAAATGTCAGCCAGAAGGAAGGAGGCCATTCCAGCACAAACAAGAACTCAAGGTTAGATCCAGGGAGGTCCTCGTGAGCCCCCTACCACACTGGGCTTCAGCAAGGGGTTCTCAGGATGGACCCTGCCTGGATCTCCTCAGGAAGGGCTTTTCCAAGATACAGCACAGAATGGGAAGAAGAGAGTGTCAGCCCTTTCAGGGGTGTGGAGTGGGGATGTGGTCAGGCTTGCCTAGGCATGAAGCAAAGGGACTCACCTCTCAAGTGGCATGGATCCAGTGGCTAATGGTGACAAGAGACATTGGCCATGTGAAGGCAGAAGTGGAGTTGGAGTTGGGGTGTTGAAGCTGTGGTCAGGACTGTAGCAAGAGAACAAGCCAGGAGGGAGGCATGGGGCAGAGACTCCTTGAGGTTCTCAGAAGGGTCTAACACCACCTGGATTTTGCTTTCTGCTTTCCGACTGCAGGGTCTGTTTGTTTGTTTGTTTGTTTGTTTTTAAGGCTTTTTTTTTTTTAAAACTTATGTGTATAGGTGTTTTGCCTACATGTATGTCTGTCTAGCGTGGGCAGTTAATTATGAAGGCCAGAAAAGGGAGTCAGAACCCCCTGGAACTAGGGTTACAGATGGTTGTGAACCACCTAATGTGGGTGCTAGGGATTGAACCCAGGTCTTTTAGAAGAGCAGCTAGTGCTCTTAACCACTGAGCCATCTCTCCAGCACCAATTATTTTAAGGCAGCCAATTTGTGGTAATTTATTACAGCACCCCAGGAAACTAATAGCCCAGCCATCTTTTTATAGGTCAGTTTCTCACACCCTACTCAACAATAATTTGTTATGAATTCACCTTTATCTGGTCTACTTGAGAAAGGACTGCACATTTCCTTGTTTTCACACAGAGGTGCAAACTTGGTGAGCACAGACAGCTGAGAAAGCTACTTGAGAGAAGGAACTTTGAGGTGTCTCCATATTGCCCCCAAAGAGAAATGTCTATGTACTGTTTACATTGGGGAACCTTTGAACACATTCTCCGAATTTGGTTAAAACAGTGTAACTGGGGACAAAGCTAATTGACATTGATGATGTTAAAGTGACGGCTCCCACCTGTAAACACCTACTGATAGCAAGAACAGCTCTCCCATAGCTGCCCTGCATGACAGAGTAAACTGAGCCCCCCTTAATGGGATGTGCACGTAGGCACTGCCCAACTCGAGGTCTAGATCTGTGGTTTAGACAGCCAAGAATTTCTGGCTTGAACTGTGCCTACCAATGATCCCACTAGTGTTGAGTGTTTGTCAGAGGGACCTTTGGTGGGGTAGACTGGGAAGGAAGGTAGACTGCAGTGGCAGGGGTAGCCAGTACCGTCCTGACAAAAGTAAGGACAGCAGCTGAGCCCCACCTTGTCTGCTTTGGAGAGTAAACATGGCCCTGACCTAGGAGAGGCCCAGTGTCACACGCAGAGGAAGATACACAGAAAGGAAAGCACAGGTCTGAGTCAGGCTCAGAGCTTCCTCTGAGTCCAGGCATTTTTCAGGAAGGGCAGGAGCAGAACCGATGGTCACGTTTCTGGGGCTTAGCTGGGTCCTGCTCACCGCAGATGGGGTGCAGAGCTGGGACTCAGACTGTCCTTTGTGGCATCTCATTCCTTCATTCCTCCATTTTTCATGGTAAGACCTGAGAGAAGACCCCCACACATGCACACACACTCCTTCAGGGGTACCCAGGAATGTCATGATGGTGCTAATGGCTCCAGGGTCCTCATACCCTATATGTCCTTTCAGATTATTCCAACAGAAGTCAAAATCCCCAACCTGACATCCAAGCGTCCTAAGGACTGAGGACTGACCTGCCTAGATGTTGGTCCATAAGGAAAACAGGTTTTGCTGGCCTTTCCCAAGCACAGCTCCTACCCAGGGTCCCTACCTTAGCACCCATTGCCACAAGGTTCCCTGTGCCTGCAATATCTTCCCCAGTGACTGGAAACCCAGTTGCACATTTCAAGCTCAGACTCTATCCCATATTTGAAACCTTTTCTAATTGTCCAGCTCCCCAGATACTTGATGGAGGACAATTATGAATGTCCTAGCTCCTCCCTCACCAACTCACAAGATCCTGCAGGCAGAGGACAGTGATGGAAAACAATCAAGCCTCCTGGCATCCCCCTGGGCCAGCAGAGGCCCTGCCCTGGAGAGTCTCCAGGAACCAGAGAGAGGTACAGACCCAGGGCAGACCCACTCGAGGTACCTCCCCAAGAGATCATGGCTACTGTACCTTGACTGTGTCCAGAGGGTAGCCAACGATGACACTAGCTGCACCTGTAGGTCAAAGAAGAACATCTGGTCACCCAAACCCTGGACTCCTGATTTGTCCCTGCCAGCTCCTAGAAAATGTCAGAGAGCCAAGGCAACAGCCAACAGTCACTGGGGTGACCTTCCGGTGACCAAGGCCTGGTCCATTTCCTGAGGAAGGCAGAGAGAGTAGAGTCAAACCCGGGCCTTATTTTTAAAAAGTACCCCCAAACAGGAATTAAGTCTCTGAGACAACTGGATATCCACACGCAGAACAGAGTTATTCCCCTGCCTCATACCACATATACAATAAATCCAAAAAAGTCCAAAGGCTTAAAACTGTAAAGAGTCACACATGAGGAAAATATTTTACAACCTTGGTTTGTAACATTTGTAGTTACAATAAAGAAAGTACAACCAACAAACGAAAAAAAAAAATAAGTGAGCTAGACATCACAACAGATACTCTCATGAAAGTGAAGACAAACAGCTTAAAAACTGAGGATAGTGTTGACAAATCACGTATCTGTAAAGGGTCTCAAGTCCAGGATACACCAAGAATTCTTACAGCTAAAACAATGTTTAACTGACCAAAAGAGATGTCTCTCTGAAGAAGACATGCCAATGGCCAACGGTACATGGACATACACTCAGCATCATTGGTCGCTAGGGAAATGTAAATCAGAAATAATAATCAAATTTCCCTTCATGTCCACTAGGATGACTGTAGTTTTTTTTTTTAATGAAAATAATAATAAACAGTGCCGACAAAGATATAAAGAAATTAGAACTTCCTTAAAGACTCCTTTTTTATGTGAATGAATGTTTGCCAACATGTATGTATGTGCACCATCGCATGCGTGCGATTACTCTAGAGGCTAGAAGACGATGTCTCCCAGCAACTGCACTTATAGATGGTTGTGAGTATATGGATGCTTGAACTGCGTTGAAATAGTAGTGCAAGCTGCTGCTGAGCTAGCTCTTCAGCCCTGAGACATTAGTATGTTGTTGGTGCGAACATGAAACAGTGCCGTCACTGTAAAAAAACTGGTTATTCCTTTATAAAGTTAAACACAGGATTGTAAAATGTGTTTTTTTTCTTTCTGTTTATTTTAAATGATACATTAAAAACATTCATTTTACGAAGAATTGCTATGTAACTCGGCATTTCCAATCCTAGATGTATACATACCTAAGAAACAAAAGCAAGAACTCCAACAAGAATAAGCACACTCATGGTCACCCCAGCATTCATCACAGGAGACAAAGGGTGGGAAGAGACCCAATGTTCATTAAGAGACATGCAATTAATACATACAGTGCGTGCGGGGGGGGGATGGGGGAGGGGATGGATTATGACTTAGCTGTAAGTAATACTATGTAGCCGTTTCCTCCAGATGGAAACATCCCATCCTGGGGGAAGGAGGATCCTTAACACTCAGGAAGTAAAACTAACAAGGCTTAGAACTTCCTGAAACTTGCAAGATTTACAAGATTCTCTTCCCAAAGTTTCATAAGCAGTGAGGGCTGCTGGAGAGAGCAGCTAAACGGAGAACTACCGTGCAGCAGCCCGTAGGGGCTGTCAGTCATGCGGCAGCTGCCTGTGAGTCATCCATCCTCCTGTAACTAACCCCTTGCCTATACTTCTGCTAGACTTTGGTGGAATCATTTCTTTGGTCTGTCACCCATGCTCTGTCTGGGCTGAGTAGCCACATGTTCACACATCCCATGTAAAGTCACAAAACATAGGAATGGCACACCAAACCCTGCTGTAATGTGGCTGAACCTTAAAAACCATAGGGAAAGGGACAGAGAGACAGAGAGAGAGAGAGAGAGAGAGAGAGAGCACCTGGCTACACACGCTGCTGTAAGGCTGTCTCAACGCCACCTGGATGAGGAAGCATCTGTAATCCACAGCAGCTGGCGTTTACACAGGGCTGTTTTCCCAGGACAAATCCCTCTCACATCCCTGACATCACGATTGCCTTAGCAAGCTGGGCAACAGGGACACTTGTTGCTTGGTCTAGAACCTCCTGTTTTCTTCACCCTCCACACTTCCCTGAACTGAGCCTCACAGAGGTGAAGCAGAGGAAGCCTCGCGCTGCCTGTCCAGCCTGGAGGAAGGAGCTTGGCTCCCCAGGTGCCACTGTCTCCTCCAGAGCAGGGGCAGGCGTGGGCATCCGAGGGTCCAGAGCAGCAGTTCAGTCAGTGGCAGGCCAGCATCTCCTACCTCACGCTTGGTCCACCTCCCTGAAAGCAGGGGTGCAACAGTAAAAGCAGGATTCTGGGGCAGTGTTTCCAGAGACTGAAAAGTCTGTAGAGCTTCAAACAGATGTGGAGGTGATTTTGTTGCCCAGTGTCACTAAGACAACCGCTGTAGGCAAGTGTGGGGGCTCAAGTTCTTTCACCTAGGCAGACCTTGGTGCCATATTGCCTGGATTAGAACCCCAGCACCTGCAGATGCTCACCTTAGGCAAGTCACCAAACTGCTTTGTACTTCTATTTCCTGTTTCCTAAATAAGGCTGTGAAGGCGCCTACTTTATTGGGGTTGCTATGTAATGAAAGAAATGTATGTAAGAAATATATGTAAGCACGGGCAGGATTCAATATGTAATAGCCAAGAAAAGCATACTGATAGGGCCATGGTTGTTCAGGGAGGCATGGGGGCGCAACTGTGAATCACATGAGAGACGAGGTAGCCACAAAGATACACTAGAATTTATAGGAATATTTTACCACTTTGTAGAGTTACCAGAAATCATTAAATTATACGCTTGAGCTGGAGACATTTTTGGCGTAGAACACAAACCTCTGAAGATACACATGGCACAGGCACTTCAGCATACCAGGAACCTGCCAAAGCACCCAGCTCATGGGTGGCTGGCTAGGGGACCTACCTGGCAGTGAGACCCAGGCAGAGGCTCAGGCTCCTAGCCTCTGACAGGAAGGGGACCTCCGCACACAGCAAGCCCCAGGTAAGGCTTTGCTCAGAAACTACTCCGGTCCTGTTTCTCTTTGCTAAAGTGAAATGATGGCGAATGAGGCGACACCTCCACAGGGGGATCTGAAGCGCTGCAGATGAGTGCAATGAAAAAGGCAAGGGCTGATGGCCCACCGCAGCCAGACCAGAAGGATCCCTTTCAGCTGTCTAGGGCAGAAGCATCAGAGAGCCCCACCCCCTGCCTTGAGGGCTGCACTCCCTGCCCTGCCGGGCTTCTCTCCCTCCAGAGGCAACGCCCTTAAGACAACCTGAACTTGAAGTCCAAATCCTCAGTCACCCTGAAAGCGGTCAAGCCAAGCGCCAACCTAAGCACGAGTTTCTTGGAGATATGTCCCCCAAACCCAGGTGCGTCCTGGGTCACAGAAGGGTGTGCATGCACTGGGGTGAATCCATTGGTTGTGTGCTCTGACCAGTGGTTTAATCATTATGGGATCCAAATCCGTTGGGGCCTAAACCAATGTGAATCTTAAGAGCTTTGTTTCGGAGACAGGAGGGACCTCAGGGCCGACCAAGCAGACAGGGCTAGGGACACCCGGTGCTGCAGGCATTGCTCATTCTGGGCTGTGTGTATCGCCAAGTGCCCAGGTGCAAACAGCTGGCTGCCTCCTAACAGCTTGCCCATGGGGGGGGGGGGGGGTCTTTCGCAAGCACACTCACCTCCGATCCAGCCCGCCACAAAGTCTTCCAGCTGGAAGATGCCCATGGCCGATGCCTCGGGTGCCTGGCCCTCCCACAGCTGGGGCAGCGCCCATTCAGTGTGGGTCGGGCATGGCCTTGCCGATCCGATCCGGGAGCGGCAACACCCAGCAGGTTCTCCAAACCCAGTGTTCCAGCCACCCGCGCTCCGGGCTGTCAGCAAATGAGGGCGGGTGGCTGACAGCCCGCCCCCAGAGGATCTTAAAGGCACAGCACTCAGACAAGGTGTGCTCCGGGAGGCTGCCCCTTGTCACCAAGGGGAATTCCCTCCATACTTCTGGCCACCACCCTCTCTCCCTCCCAACAACACAGCCTTGGAGCCTTTAAGGTGCAAGCATCAGCCAGAAGAGCCAGCACCTGTTTAGGACACTTTTGCAAAGTTCCTCAAAAGAGGGAAGGAGGGAGGCTTTACAGACCCCGAAGGTTGCCTGCTGTAGGACTCACTTGGGAAGACTGTCCACCGTGTTAAGGGCAAAGAACCCTAACAGTAACTAACTGGAGTGTGGGGAGATGGGTTAGCGGGAAAGAGCACATGCTGTGCAAGCATGCCTTTGCATGCTTAGATGCCTGGAACTTCAGACATGGGGACTGGAGTCCGAAGAGACTAGAGGATTGCTGGGGTTGTTTGACAGCCATCCTCATGGAAAGTAGGTCGCTTGAGCTGCTCTTATCAACACACACACACACACACACACACACACACACACACACACACACAGACACACACACAGACACACACACACTTTCGTGTATAAAAACTAAATATCTATAAACCAGAAATTCTCAATTTTTGGACAGGCCGATTGAAAGCTATGGACAGCTCCGCTATCAGATGGAGTACACACAAGTTTCCAAGCTAGTTTTGGAGTTGAGGCTGCCTCTCCTTCTCCAGGCCACACACCATCTGCACGACCTGGATTGACAGTTTCTTCTGCAAGTGAGAGACTGGATAAGATATGGGAGGCATCTCACCCAGAAATTGGTGCCAAGCCAGCTCCAAATAAACACCAAGGTTATCCTGCACTTAGCTGAAGCCTCCTCCCTCTAAGCCTCGGCTTGCTCTTTCCTGCAAGTCTGCGCACCGCACTTCACAGGCCTGGAAAGTGCTCGTGTGCTTCAGGACCAGGACAAGTAGCTGCAGGTTCTCCCAGCACTCCTCAGTCCCTACCTGCTGCCTTGAGTGGCTGGCCACTTTCTACTGGCAACCCTCTACCCTGAACTTTCCAGGGCAGGGGCTTCCCCTCCTCCTTTTAACCATGTAATCTGGACATTTTGTTGCTATTATTTTTTTCTTTGTCTTGCATGGCAACCAAGAGCTGCTTCCAATGAACCAAAATTTATATACTTTAACTTGCCTTACATGAGAAGCAGCCCAAGCTCCTCATTTTTTAATTATATAAAAAGGGAGGAATATTTAGTATTTAGGCAGCCTGCTTCTGGGTTGCCTAGCAACCTATGATGTCACCATGTGTCACCCACCAGGTAGCCACACCTGGCAGTTGTGGTTAAGTTTCTCCTTAAAAGGTTCAATCAGACACTTTCTCTCTCTCTTGCTCTCTTACTCTCTTGCTCTCTTCCCTTTCTCTGTCGGGACATCCCCTTTCCTTCCCCCTATCATGTCTCACTCTCTCCTTCTCTTTCTCTCTTCATCTCATCCAATAAACCTCTTTCATATAAAATCTGCTGTGTGTGTCATCATTTTATTTGGTCCTAATAGTTACGCTTAAAGTATAAAATGTGTATGCATCTCACAGAGAGAGAGAGTAATTATTCATCTAAGTGGCCAAAGCAGGGCATGAACATGGCCAGGACCCACTTTGAGAACAGATTCCAAATTATTCCCCTAATCCTGCCTTCCCTAGGGAAAAACCCAGGAGACACCTAGCCAAAGGAAAACTCCTACAGCCAGCTGCCTCCCATGGACAGGTCTGGCCTGTGTGGGTATCTTTTGCACTGAGAGCCTTCTCTCTGCAAAGGGGGCTTGAAATTTCCAGCAGGCAGACCACGGTAAAGGGTAAAGCAGGGCAATTCTGCTATGCTTTCTGATGCAATCTCAGCTGTCCTGGACTCTTTTTGTAGACCAGGCAGGCTGGCCCCAAACTCACAGAGATCCACCTGCCTCTGCCTCCCTGAGTGCTGGGATTACAGGCATGCCACCACCGCCTGGCTCATCTTCCCCTCTTTTGTTGGTACAAACCAGTGGTCTCAATGCATTCCAGATGTTTACTGACAATCAAAGGGATGCTAGTCAGATGCACAGTTGGGTGAAGAAAGGCTATTTATTAAAGGAACAGAAGATTGATTTTGGCTTTCAGGCTGCAACATATCAACGCTCCATAATCTCAACACTCTGACAGATCCGTCAGCAGAACCTTCTGCATAGGTGAGATTTTCTCAGAGAACTTCACAGCTTGCCCTGGCCAGAACATCGAGAACAAGGCGGAAGACTTCCCCTCCAGGAGCTGCAGGGAACTAAGGTGATATAGCTAGTTAGCACTTCCTCCTGCTCAGCAGCTGCCAGACCTGAAGGCACAGATACCCCATTCTATTCCAGCAGAATTCTGGGGCAGACACCTCTCTGCTTCAGGGAAGCCTAAGGCCTGAAGTCCTGTTTCCTCGCTAGGCAGAAGTACTTCTCAGCCGCCCACCCCAAGGCACACCCCTGTCCCCTGTACTTACTTGCCCTAGTCATGTGCACAGCTGCTTCCGCCTCCTCCGGAGGCTGCTGCTGGCTTTGCACACCTGGCCCACCCTCCTGTGGTATGCATGTGGTAGGGCTACAAGGTGCTTCAAGCAACCGCTCAGCCAGGTGGGATAAGGGGTGTCTGAGGGTGTGGGCGGGTGGTGGATGACTAGGGACCTAACCTTGGGCCTAGCGCAAGCTAGCTGTGAATGTGTCTGTACGTGTGATTAACATTACAGCTGGTTGATCCTTGATCCTCCGGGTAAGACTCACTCAACCAATTTAGGCACCCTACAAGCAAACCGTGAGATATCCTCAAAGGGGGAAAAAATGAGTTCCTGCCTGATGATTTTAGTCTTCTGGTCTACCCCATAAACTCAAGACAGTCAGGTCGAACCTGACATTCCACACAGAGGCTTTGGTTTCTCAGGTACAGCCCTAACAGGGGTGGGGGTACTCCTCATTGTTCTGTGTGCATCTTCAAATTCTGATGCAGAAACTGAGGCACAGAGGAGCGTGCAAACAAGACCCTACCTATCAAGTCAGGATATTTTATCCCAGCTACCAGGTGATGGCATAATTCTAGGGACAGTCTACCGATGCCACCTGTCTCTTCTGACACCTCCCTTCAACACCTCTCCTAATGCCCCTTTGCCCTGTGATGGCCCTTGGTGGGTGCTAGCCCCTGTGTTGGCTTGGCAATGGAATGCCAGTCAACCACAGCCCTTGCTCTAGACACATCCTCTCAGAGGCCTGTGCTCAGAGCACCTGGTGTTTCAAAGTCTCCCTAATCTTCATGTGTAGCTGGGGGGAGGAGGGGCAGTGAAGGAGGTCCCCATCAGGTTCTGGCTCAGCCTACACTGCCCCAGCCAAAAGGTGGTCCTCCCTAGCTCAGAGTCCTTCTGTAGGTAGACCACACCCACCCATGCCCCAGCTACAGGCCAGGAACACCAAGGCTGGCCACAAGATGCACCTTTGTTCCATCTGGAATGTCCTGCCTCCCCCTGACTTTATAGGTGATCCTGTGCTCAGCAGTATCCAGCTAGCTTCCAGCAGGGAGGCAGTTCTGGGTCCCAGCCACAGTACTCAGGGATAACAGGAGCAGTGAACCCTGGATTTAGGAAGTGCCTCTCTTGGCCTGCTCATGGCCCCTTGGCACTTTTGGATTAATGTGTAGGATCAACTGGTCAGAGTTTAACCACTGACACCTGCTACCTGTAGCCTCCTGAGGAGTGAGGCTCGGGGTGTTAGGTCCCCTCATAGGCCTGTCCCCTCCCCTCATGGGGTGTGCACAGAATCCACTTTTGAATTCCAGAGCCAAAGCCACCCAGAAAGCATGAAGCACATGTTGATGGGGGAGTCATGCAATGTCCTATGGAGGACTGAAAAGTCACAGCCTGTGGCTGAGGTCACCTCATATGTACATGGTGGGTGGCCTACTCAGCCTCGAGGCTATGCGGCCATCATCAGCGTTAGTCTCCGAGCTGTGCTCGCTATGCCCATGATCTGGGCCAGAGACCTTTTGGGAAATGAAAGGTCTCCAAAGAGTGGCCCTTTGGTGAGTTTACTGTTGGAGTGCATCCACTGTGACGGTGGCCAGTTCCCAAGGCCAGTCTTGTGGGACCACCTCGTACTTCCAGGCAGATCGCCAGCTCCTCAGGCCTGTGTCAGCGCCATTAGTGTGGTCTTGAGTTGGCAGGCAGCGTTGCTGGCAGACGGGATGGCCTCCCTGGCCCATGGTACTTGCTTGATTGCCAGCGAGTTTGAGAAGAGTGGATGGAGCCCCCAGGTCCTCGATTGCATGCTGGGAATCTAACTTTGTAGCACATATAAAGGAGGACTCGGAGAACCCTACATTACTCGGCAGCATGCAGCAGGCCCTCCTGAGCCCTGGGGTGAGGAGGGGACCCAGCAGAACAGTGGTGTTGTCCCTCTTCCCTGGGTCTCAGACCTCTTGAGGGCAGCAGTGATGCTTGCTTCTGCTGTCCGAATCTAAGCTGGCCTCTGGGCTGGGACACAACCAGCCACAAGGAAACCAGGATTCAGAGTTCACCTCTCAGAGAGAGACTCAGAGAGAGGGGCTCCCTGCGTTGCCAGGGCCAGAGAGAAATTTCACTCCATTTCTTTCTCGGTTCTTCCTCATGGGGAACCCCTGCAGTATCACCTATGTGATAGGGGCCTGTGGGTAGCACAGAGGCAGGTGCTGGTGTCCCAGGATAACAGGGCCCACTTCCATTTTCTCACTGGCTCCCTCAAGGGCAGCAGCAGCTCCTGAGTGAGGAAATGGCTAGAGAAGAGACAGTTTGCCTAGGATGCGACATCGAAGCTATTGGAAGGCACTGGAGGAGGGCTGTGTTTCCAGAAGTGAGGGAAGGCTCCATAGTGTGGGTCTCCTGGTCATACCTTGAATCTACCCAACCAATGGCTCCA